CCCCTGCGCATACTCAGCGTCTAACGCAATACCAATCGCCACCTGTGGCGTCGAGTTCGAACACCGATGTAACAATGCGAACTGCTAACTCAAGGAGAATAAACTATACCAATAGCGAAATAAATCAACCTTGCAATTCACAACAATGTATTGCATCAAATCAGTATAATAATTCGGATTTGGCTGAAATTGAAAATTTTCACATATTATATAGCCTTGACGAGACGAATAGAATAAAAATTAATTATACGAAACTTTTAAATTTACCACATATAAGTATACCTGAACTAAAAGTTGTCTTTATGATAGACACTGGTAGTACGAGGTCATTTATTAGTCCAGAACTAGCAAAAAAATATTATAGTGATTCGGTACACTTAGAACCGTTTGAGGTTATTAGTACTCACGCTGCCAGTAAACACGGAGAAGTTGTCTACGCAAAGTTTCCGAGTATTTTTCATAGTCCACAAAAACACAAGTTTTATGTATATAGTGTAGACGAAAGGTACGATGGGTTAATAGGTAGCGATCTCTTAAAATTGCTTGACGCTACCATTGACATGAAAAACCTCACTATAGATACAAATAATACTAATATCCCAATTATTCACTCACCGCCAAAGAGAGACATATAATCTGCCTCCTCGCTGCGAATTAAGAGTTAAATTACCAGTCAACTTATTAATTGGTGAAGCTATAGTAAATGTGTCGGACGGGCGAAACTCTCCGGAGTAAATGTTGTCGAAGATACTTCGCGAGTCGCTCACGTCCTACACCTATAGGTTCCGGTGGGTACTTTCACTGCCGTCTTTGTGGTTGTCGCTGAAATATTGTGGACTGAGATTCAAATCAAAATGCACGATTAATAAATACAAATAGCAAGGTAGTGGCCAGCGGCTCGACTGATTAATTAGTCGCGAAATTTTATAACTATTGACCACGGTTGAACCACGGTTGAACTACGGTTGTTCACTATTGGTTGGTCACTGTATATTTCAAAAGATTTCTTTAAATTGTACGGTGGTATCAAATATCTATTGGTAGTAGCTGGTTTTCTAACACTACTGACTAGCAGCTATTATCAACTAAACTAGCTGATTTTATCACTTGTGTAACTGCGGATATCCGTTACCACTTTCACTATATGTAACTGCGAATATCAGTTACGACCTTTTTCGGCTAGCTAACACTTTCACTATATGTAACTGTGAATATCAGTTACGACCTTTTTCAACTAGCTAACACTTTCACTATGTGTAACTGCGAATGTCAGTTACGACCTTTTTCGGCTAGCTAACACTTTCACTATTCACTATATACTGCTACTAGTCACTTCAGCTACCACCGGATACCACTCACTTCACTTCACTTGTCACTGGTAGTTCTTCACACTACTACTGGTACTGGGTCCCGAGCCCCTAAGGTAGACTTTAGCAATACTTTACAGTGAGCCGCTTGCCATTTTCCGTTTTGCCTCTTTATTGCATAAACATTTCACTATACAAATGGCATAAATTGTAATATTTTCTATACAAAACTAACTGCTACACTAACATGCTATACATCATTAAATCGGTAGTCTAGTACTTTATTATTATATCATAAAGGTTACTAAAAACATTAACATTGTAAAAAGTTATTAAACGAAATGTTCCAAATTTTTATAATATTTGGGTACATTAATTCTTTATTTTTTATATAAATACGAGTATCAAATGCGTTTAATTATACAAAATATTCCTACACTTCTTTAATCTATAAGCCATATGCTAATTCAATGTCATATTTATAACTCTTTTAGAACATAAAATTATTTTCATTATTTTTAGTATGAACTATTACGCAGTTAATTAAAAAACTTCTAGAGAGTTCTACGATAAGACGCGCTGTGATTGGTCGATTTTTCTTAATATAATAAAAGTTGTTTACATTACTTGTTATCAAAACGACATTCTATACAAATATACTAAGAGTTATAAACATGCTAAACAACTATATTAATACACGTTTTCAGCCAGTTTTATCGGTAATTTCACTATTTATACAAAAAACAATATTCTTTATAACTTTGTTTACGTTGTTAGGCCGTCGCGAACAGTAAATTACATACTTTATATGTTAATAAATATAGAAAAATATGCCAAATTGATTTACCCAGCAAATAAGGAAAATTTAATTAAGTTAGAAAGAAATATAGTAGTTAAATCGTATGTCAATAGGAATAGTTTTTGTATTAGATATCCCACTAATTGAACCAGACATATACATATACTACAAAATAATACCAATTACAATATCTAATTCCGATGTTACCCATATCATAATCCTATCATATCCTTTCCTATTGGTGAAAAGATTGAAATACCGATCAGCTGTGAGTCCCTGTGAAGAAATCGACGACGAAAAGTTCTTATGCACAGAGGAAAGTCTCGCAGAGTATCCAGCTGAAACATGTATTGAGCAAATAATGCAGATGAAAACCAACCACAGTAGCTGCCAGCAACATAATATACGATTGGAGAATTTGAAAATTCAGAGGATCTTCAAGAACTATTGGCTACTCTATACCATTAGGGACTTGATAATAACTGAACACTGTCCAGAACATGTACAAAAATACCAAGTGCAAGGCACATATATAATGATACCTAATCAAGAATGCCGAACACAGTTTTGAGACACATTCATCAACGCTCCGAGGTACTTTGCGAATACCAGACTTCAGCTTTCCACAATCGAGATACCAACCGTAAGAGAGGATGACATCAAGAAAGAAGCAAAACAGTTAGATTTAAGAAACGTGGACTTCAGTGATATAAAAGAACTAATAAAGAGTGCTAAATTCAGTGATAACGCAATAAATACAAAATTATTAGTAACAAGTGAAATCAGTGCATGGACCATAAGTTTATATCTCATTCTAATTCAAATTATGTTATCGATATTCTCTGAAGTCGCTTGAGCCACCTTCGGATAATTTCTCTCTTGAGGGGGGAGGAGTTAAGGCTGAGCACCCCTGCCAAATCTCATTCGTTCGCATATCATCAGCAATCCCATCTGGGTCAAGCGTATGCAGTAAATAAGCTTAGTAAATAGTTTTGTTGCATATAATTTAAGTATAAATAGACAATTGTAATCAGTTAATATCAAATATTGTAGTAATAAACTTCTTACTGTAACTCTGTCAAAATAAATAAATATATTTTTTATTGAAGTTTGGTTCATTATCTTAATTCGTTCTTGATCAAAAGAGTGTAGTGCTGACAAAGAGTTTAAAACAGTTCGTTTAAATCTTTCAGCCTGTCCATTAGTCCTGGGATAAGCGACTGCGTTCAAAATATGCTTAATACAGTGTATATCACAGAAGGTTTTAAAAGCTTTTGACGTAAAACTTGTGCCTCAGTCGGATATAATTCTAGCTGGTATACAAAAAACATAGAAAATTTTCTCAATAACTTTAGTAGTGTTTTTTGCCTTAAGATCTTTGATTGCTCTCAAAAACAAATATTTGGTAAAAGCGTCAACCACTGTCAAAGTATGCGTGTTACCGTCTTTACAAAACGTCCGAGATGGTGTGAAAAGGTATCTGTACTTTATTTATAGGATATAAGAATCCTGATTTACGTATAGCGGCGTTATCCTTGTTATAACTCTACATGTATTTTAAAATAAAATAATTTTTTACATATTTTTGAAGTTTAGGGAACCAATAGGATTTTTTTATTCGTTAAAGTGTTTTTGAATAATTCAAATGACCAACATCGTCGTGATTGGCCCGACATATTTGCCAGCGCACACTCTCTAGAACAACTAAACATAGTTTATCATTTAAAGTAAAGTAAAGTAACAGCCTATATACGTCCCACTGCTGGGCACAGGCCTCCCCTCATTTCTGAGAGGGTTTTAGGGAAAGGAAGTGTCCGCCGCGTTGCACCAATACGTGTTGGCGAACTTCACATGTCTTCGAATTTTTTTTCTTATTTCTCGGACATGCAGGTTTCCTCACGATGTTTTCCTTCATCGCCGAGCACGTGGTAAATCAGCACTTAAAATTGCAATTAACAATTTCATTGGTGCCGGTGGGGATCGAACCCGGTTTGCTCGCGTACTGTGAAATTTACAGCGAGCGCTAATTTTATTTTATCATTTATTTTTGGAAATACAGTATGATTTTTAATTACATAATTTTGTCAAACATATTTACATTCCTGGTCATCTCCAGGTTTAAGAGTGTTAACTACCCTACCCTGCAGTGTACTATGATTGTAGTACAAACGAGTCGATTCGCTAAACTGGTGAATGCCACAATCGCACCGAACACCAGCGTAAAATAGCAGCAAATGCTGCTTAGTCCCGTATTATGCGTGACGAGAACTGAATAATCTTTTTACTGGTAAATAGGCGTTTCAAAAGGATATTAAATTGCCTATGAGGTTCATCATCCACTTTACATCAAATGAACTGTGTGCTCTTTGCCACCCTTAGTTCACACCTTATGAAGGAAATATAATATAAAAATTCGGTTCTCCCACAGATTGTCTGTCATGCGGGAAACACTTTTTATGTACTTTGGCAGTTAATGTTATCAACCAATCAAAACGCTTCTGAATCTTTATTTATTAATTCTTTATTTAACTATTGAATAATTTAAAAACAAAAATATTTCTGTACCAATAAAAATATAGTCTTAAAAAGTTTTATATAATCAACGAGAGTGAAGTTATTTTACACAGCTTTCATTTGATACTACTTTACCCGCATGAATATATTAATTTACACTTGCGATATTAATTTTAATAATAATTAGATTTAGATGTTTATGCTAAAGCGCCATCTTTTAAAATGAAATAATTGAATTTAGGTGTATAAACTTATAAACACTAAAGACATAATAAAGTTGTTCTTGGAATCACTTATAGGTGGCTGGTTCATATTGTATTTCCAAATCAAATTTGTATATAGCGTTGTTTCAAAGTAGTTGTGAATGTAAATTTTGTTCCTCATGGATGCTTTGAAAGTACATTTAACAAAAGTTTTTTATATTCTTCTTCATTGATGGAGTAAATTAGCCTAACATTTGCGTCTTGCATAGGAACGAAGTCATTTGTATTGATGCCTCGTTGGTCACCTAAAAAACAACACAAATTCATGAAATTATGTTAGATTATGATATGTGATAGAGTGACGCTACAGCAGTTGCAGCACGAGTGGTTTGGCTTAACCTGTGGATAAAGTTCTCATATTATATGTACCAAATCATATCATACGTTTATTTACGATGAGTTACGAGATTTAAAATGCTTTTTACTATTAACTAGGCCTGCCATCTTAGTCCTCCAGAGTGATAACATGTCTGTTTTTTACAGTCCACCTGAAATTAACCCGATGCTATTGTCCTTAGCCGTCTACATCTATCCTTGATTAAGAATAAATAAGCAGATGAGTTCTCACCCCTGTGGACTAAGATTGAATAATTCGTTACCAGTAAAAAGGATCTCTGGTTCTTTATTTTCACTACGCGATACAAACACAGCATACATATATATACACGTATACACGTATTCTGTAAGGGCGGGATTCTGTTAGATTTATTATTTTGATAAAAAAAAATACTCCCGTTAATCTTTCCGTTATTTTGTGATATCTATTAATGTTTATGAAAATAAGCTGACGGGATTTTTTTTTAAATATAACGATCTATTTATATTTGAATAAAATACTTGTCGCAGGAATGGTTCACCATAATAGTCGAATAGCGGATTCAAACTCATGACTTTCTAAGTCGGTACCTTAGGTTAGCAAGTAAAAAAAAAGAAACTATCATAATTTTTCCATTAAAACCATATGAAGTTGTATATAATTTAATTAGTTTTTTGGAAACAGTTGCAACGAAATTTTGTACTTAGATATTTTTTAATTTCTTAGATAATTTCTAGTTATTAAAGAAATTATTTTTATATTTTTTTAATAACAAATTCGGAATTCAATAATAATATTTATAAATTGTAATTATTAAATTCTGCTAAGGACTAAATCCGTCAATAAATTAAAGGCGCCCCCTGCCACACTATCCGTGAATTTATGCAACATCAGGCGACTTAATTCAAACCTTAACGCCATCCACTACTATCTGGAAACGGTGAAGCTGACCTTGCTCTTTATAACCGAGACACAGGTGTCCTCTCCGGCTGATACTTCGTATCTCTCCTACCCGAGGTACAAATTAGAACACTTCTTTGTGCCCCGGGCTGGATTTTGTGTGTACGTCAGAGAGGACATCTGTTTTCAAAGCCTCAGCAGCCTTGAAGGTACAGACCTGTCCCTCTTATGGCTGCGCGTAGACATTGACGACCATCCCGCGTCTACGAATGCCTCTATAGGTCTTATAGCGGTAATTCCGACACAAAACGACTAATCGACCAAGTCCAGATAGCTGCGGACTCCGTGCTACAACAGGTCCCATCCGCAGAGATGGTGATGCTTGGTGATTTTAACGCCCACTATGCTGACTGGCTTGGCATATGGTCTGACACAACTGGTTACCTCGCCAACGCGGATTCCAGATGTGAAAGATCATGTAACTTCCCTGTTGAACCTTCTGCTGACCTATCACCTGGACGGATATCAGGTCTCCTTTGATGCCCCTCTTGACTCTTCGGACTATTGTCTGATCCGAAGTACGGTGCCACTCACGCTCCCATCACGGTCGCGTATTGAAGGTTACTGCCGTGTTTGGCATTATAGGTCAGCCGATTGAGACGGGTTGCGATCTTTTTTTGCATTCTACCCTTGGAGGCGCGTTTTGCTTCTCGCCGGATGATCCCATCGTTGTTGCTGATTCTGTCGCTGATGTGACGAAACAGAGAATGGAACTTTTTATTCCATATCTACCTATCGGAGGTAGAATCTAGCCTTGGTTTGGTCGCTCCTGCAAAATTGAACTACGTCACAAGCAAGAGTGCTACCAGGCCCGGGCTCACGCATCGAAATCTCGGGATGTAAATACCAGCGCTCTTAACGAGAAGTATAATTCTGCCTCCAGGTTCTTCAAAAGAGTCGTTGTCAAGGCAAAGTCAGAGCACATCGGCAGAATTGGTGAGAAACTAGTTGGATTTCCTTCGGCAACACGTGTATTCTGGTCTCTCGACAAGGCTGTCCAAGGGAACTTCTGTCAGCCATCTCTCCCATCTCTGCACAAGGGAGGACGACTCACTGGCCCATGCTACAAAGGACAAAGACGATCTGCTGGGCTCGCTGTTTGCGTCCAACTCAACTCTTGATGACGGGGGGAACACTCCGCTGACCATGCCGTGGTGTGAACGCTCCATGCAGGATGTGCTATTTACCCAACGCTTGATACGCAGAGCACTACTCTCCATAGACGTCAACAAGTCGAGTGGGTCTGATGGCGTCCCATCTATTGTGCTGAAGGCGTGTGCTCCGAAGTTGGCACCGGTTATAACCCGTCTTTTCCGGTACTACTTCTCCCTAGACGTAGTCCCAAAATCATGGAGACAGCCTTCGTGCACCCGATCCCTAAAAAAGGTAAACGCTCTGATCAGTCCAATTATAGGCCTAACGCCATCGCCTTTTTGTTCTCTAAAATAATGGAATCCATTATTTACAGCCAGCTCATGCGGTACCTTGAGGATCACCAGCTGATTAGTGACCGCTAGTACGGTTTCCGTAGCGGTCGCTCGGCTGGTGATCTTCTGGGTTACCTAACTCATAAATGGTCGGAGGCAGTAGAGTCCAAGGGGGCAGCGTTGGCTATTAGTTTAGACATAGCGGAGACTTTCAATCAGATTTGACACAAAGCGCTTCATCGAAACTTCCTTCTTACAGGCTTCCCGAGAAATTGTGCAATTGGATCACCAATTTTCTTGCTAATCGGAGCATCAAGGTCGTAGTAGACAGTGCATGTTCCGATTACGAGCCTATTAACGCCACCAACGCTGATTATACTCCCTCCTTGTCCTAGACATTCTTAACAATTGTAGTACGCCGCATTCCATGCCAGCATCACAATTTATCCAAGCTCGCTAAAAAAAATTTTTAAAGCAGTATATCTGGCAACACTGTATCAACCCTTCCGTCAATGCAACTTCATTACGTTTTTTTGTGCCAGCCATCACGGTGTGTTTTATAATTTTTGTTGTAAAAATAAATATGTTTAGTGTAAAATCAAATATTTTGTATCCAAAACCTACTACAAATAAATTTATTACGTATCTGCGTGTTAATAATTTGATTATGTACTTGGGAAAGGAAGATATTCAAAATGGAGCCAACCGATCAAAGGTAAACAAAAATCCTGTTGTTCGAGGTAGGTGCACGTGTATATAAAATAAATAAAGTTAAAACATTTATTAAATAATAAAATCAGATTCACTGTGCCCATTTATTAACAAGTATGATAAATTATCGAACAAACTCGTCACTCATATAATATGAAATAGTAAATAGGTATTTTAACCTATAAATGTGGGTTGAGATACATTGTACAGAGATACGTTGAGAAATTTTAAGTGATATATATATTAATGTTTTTCTTAATTTCATTTACTTACGTTGGGCAGCAGACCCGGAAATTATACACCCTGAGATTACAACTAAACTTTCTTTAGTATCAGAAAATCCTGATTATGAAAAGGAATAAGCGCTATAAATAAACTTAACTCATGGTTTTATTAAGGTTATGTAAACCTTTAACGTCCACAAAAAATTGGCAGAACAAGTTAGAAATAATAACTGAATTCTGGGACAAAATTATCCAGTGTGTAAGGGAGAGTCAGTTTACTAGTCCTTAAAATTGTTAATTACCAAACAAATGGGATTTAATAGATGCATTTTTAAATCTAGACAGTATATTATTACATATTATTTTGTAGACACATAAAATAAAAAATAAAAAACTACATAATATGACACTCCTCTATCAGTCATTTTGGTATTGGTAGGCCTATGTGCAGCTGTGGATTTTTATAGACTGCAATGGATGGATGGATAATATGACATGAAAGTAAGAAAAAATGTGATATAAGAACTGTTTTACCTTGATATGGAATATCAAAAGGTTACAAGTTAAATACACTTAAAATATAAGTAAGCAAAAAGTGAGTAAAAAATAGCATTTAGGCTGTTTAGAAAAATCTGAAAGATTGAACCAAATATTTATTATTCAAATTATATCCCTTGTGATATATTTGGCTCCACACTTTGTCAATGAAACCAGATTTGACAGATATGCAAAACAAAAATAGTATTGTAAGCATCAGATTGAATTACAATAAATTTGTTAAATTATTAAAAGAATAATAAAAAGACAACAGATAGCCTGTAAAATGGTTCATGACTTAGATTATTGTCAATTTTAAAAAATTAACAAAATATAATTAAAAAACTCAGTAAAGAAGATAAACAATAAATTATTATTATTGAGATAGTAAAACAAATATAATATAATAATTATTATATAACAATTAATATAATAAGACGAGAAAATAATATAGAGAAATTTCTGCCAATTAAATAAAAATAAAAATATAGACCATAATTAATTAGTTGACATTAAACATGGGCACATTACTGCATTCGAGCTGTATTATGTAATTTAATATAACCTAAGTTACAAGGAAGAAAGAAGTGTTTAGCATCATTAGGTTTTAAATAGAATGATGAGTTGCAAATTCATTAATGGCCTAAATCGGTACATAAAATATCAATCTGGGAAAATATAAAACTTACATACTTCACTAATTAAAACAGTGGTAAATTAAACAATTAAAAAGAAATTTAAAAATAATTATAGGAAATAATCTATTGTAAGATATTAAAAAGTAATGACAAGTTAAAAATAAGTAATATGTGAAGTAATAATTAAAAAATAAAATAAAGATGGATTTATTCAGTAAAATTAAGTATGGTATCATTCATACCTATCATGTTATTATTATCACCTTCATAACTAAAACTAGGTATGGTAAAAGCACAATAGAGTTATGCTGACAGATGAATACACTGATTGCCAAAATATGTTAGCAACAAAATAAATTGTTATAGTAAGAGGAAATTATGTAAAAATACTTTTAAGAACTATAAAGATTTTATGATATAAATAGTGACTAA